TGGGGTTCCATTCTTAAGTAGGAACCGTTTTACAAATTTTTGACAGGAAGTATGTGATATTCATTTTAAATTTGGAATATAAAAGAGAAAGGAGACATCACTCAGTTATTCTCCTCCATAATATCATGCTGAAAATTATCATTCTTAAATGAAAACTACATTACCGCCTGGCATTAAGGGGTAGTTCTTTGTAGTTCCAGAATAACATTCCTGTGTTGAAAGCCTGACAATAATTCACTTTGTCGACTCCTGTAGAACTGCCTTCAGATTACTTAAGATGGCATTTATTTTTTGAATGTGGGGGGGTGGGCAGGGAGGAGGGGTGGTTGGTGGTGAAGGGTTTAATAGCTCTACCAGTTCCAGTGGTACCAGATCTCGTTGGCTAAGTCGGGTTTTCAGGGACCGTGCGTGGAGGCACAAAGGTGGGGTGTCATGGTTTGGGTTGGGGAAGAGTCGCTCAGATACAAAGAACAAGGAAGGCGACAGCATAGGAATAGGCTCTTTGGCCCACCAAGACTGCACGAACGCATGATGCCTTTCTAAATTAAAAACGTTTTGCCTCCACACGGTTCATTTCTCGCTATTTCCTGTCTATTCATGTGTCTGTCAAGAAGCCTCTTAAACACTGCTATTGTATCTTCCTGCACCTCTTCCTCTGGCAGCACGTTGCCGGCACTTTTCACCCTCTGTGTAACAGACTTGTCTCTCACATGTCCTTTAAACTTACCCCCTTCTCCCTTAAACCTACGTCCCTTGGTAATTGATATTTCTACTCTGGGAAAAAGACTCTATCCATGCCTGTCAATTTTGTAAACTTCTATCGGGTAGCCCTTCATCCATCGAATTTCATGTGAAAACAAACCAAGTTTGTTCACTCTTTCCTTATAACTAATACCCTGCAAGCCTGGTAACATCCCGGTAAACTGTTTCTGTGCACTCTCCCAAGTCTCCAAATCCTTCTTGTAGTGTGGTGACCAGAACTGTACATAATATTCCAAATGTAGCCTAAGTAAAATTCTATACAGCTGCAATATGACTTGCAAATTTTCATACTCTATGCCCCAACTGATAAAGGCAAGCATGCTATAGGCCTTCTTGAACATCTTATCCACTCGTGTTGCCACTTTCAGGGAACTGTGGACTTGTACACCTAGATCACTGTATGTTGATGCTACAAAGAGTTCTGCCATTTACTGTATACTTTCTCCTGCATTAGATCTTCCAAAATGCATCACTTTTTATTTGCTCAGATTAAACTTCATCTGCACTTTCTCCACCAAGTCTCCAGCCTATCTATATCCTGCTGTATCATCTGGCAATCATTCTCACTATCCACAGCTTCTCCAATTTCTGTGTCCTCTGTAAACTTACTCATCAGGCCACCTACATTCTCTTCCAAATCATTTATGTATATTACTAACAACAGGGATCCCAGAACTGATCTCTGCAGAAAACCACTGGTCACAGATCTCCAGTCAGAAAAGCACCCTCCACTGCTACTTGTCTATCTCCTGTGACTAAGCCAGTTCTGTATCTATCTCACCAGCTCACTTTTGATCCATATGACTTCATCTTTTGTATCAGCCTGCCAGTAGATACCTTTTGAAAGGTCTTGCTAAAGTCAATATAGACAACATCTACCAGCCTGCCCTCATCAATCATCTTTTTCACTTCCTCAAAAAACTCGATTAAGTTTGTGAGACATGACCTTCCCTGCACAAAGCTATGCTGCTTATTGAGAATAATTTTTCCAAAATATATTTTTCCATGTGTGAGTAGATCATATCCCTCAGAACCTTCTCCAATAATTTCCCTACCACTGACATAAGGCTTACTGGCCTGCAATTTCCCGGATTATCTCTGTTGCCCTTCTTAACCAAAGGAACAACATTGGCTATTCTCCAGTCATCTGGGACTTCTTCTGTGACTGGAGGATACAATGATTTCGTACAAGCAATTTCCTCATCTGCTTCCCTTAGCATTCTGGGATAGATAGCATCAGGTCCTGGAGACTTGTCTATCTAAATGCTTTTTAAAGCACTCAACATCTCCTTTTTGAATTAATATGCCCCCAAATATCAACATACCCATCGTGACACTCACCGTCCATAATGCCCTTCTCCTTTGTGAATACTGATGCAAACTATTCATTAAAGACCTCACTCACTTCCTCTGGCTCCACACATAAATTCTCTCCATTGTCCTTGAGTGAACCTATCCTTTACTTAGCTACTCTCTTCCTCCCTAAATGTGTATAAAACGCCTTGGAATTTTCCTTAATCCAGTTTGCCAAAGACATTTCATGGCCCCTTTTTAGCCCCGTTAATTCCTTGTTTGTGTTCTTTTCTGCTTCCTTTGTATTCTTCAAGGGCTGTGTTTGTCTTCACTTTCCTAAACCTTATGTTTGCCTCTTTTTTACTTTTCCATTAAGGTCTCAATTTCTCTTGTCATCCAAGGTTCCCAAATCTTGCCATCCTTATCCTTTATTTTCACAGGAGCATGCTGGTCCTGAACGCTAACTAACTGGCTGCTAAAAAGATTCCCACATGCCAGATATGGATTTACTCTCAAATAGCTGCCTGTAGTCTACATTCCCCATTCTTGACTTTTTATTTGTGGTAGTTGGCCTTCCCCCGCTCAGTGCTTTCACCCGAGGACTACTTTTATCCTTATTTGTAAGTAACTTAAAACTTACAGAATTATCGTCACGGTTTCCGAAATGTTCCTCCACTGAAATTACAATCGCCTGGGAGGGCTCATTACCAAGACCAGGTCTATTTCCCTCATTGGACTGTTTACATACTGTTTCAAAAAACAGTTCTAGACACACTTAACAAATTCTCCCCCATCTAAGCCTGTGGCACTAAGAAAGTCCAAGTCAATATTGAGGAAGTTAAAATCTCCTGCTACAGCAACCCTGATATTTTCACATTTTTTTTGTAATCTGTCCAACATATCTGTTCCTCTATTACCTGCTGGCTGTTGGGAAGTCTGTAGTACAATCCCATCAAAATGATTGCACCTTTCCTATTCCTGAGCTCTACCCGTAAAGATATTGCTAGATGAAACCTCCAATGTGTCATTGCCCAGTACAGCGATGATATTCTGTCTAATCAATAACACAACTCCCCCATCTCTTTTACATCCCTTTCTATCTCGCCTGAAACATCAAAATCCCAGAACATTAAGCTACCAGTCTTGTCCCTCTCTCAACCAAGTCCCTGTAATGGCTAAACATCATAGTTACATGTATTAATCCAGGATCTACATTATCTGCCTTACCTATCTTACTCCTCACATTAAAACAAATACACCTCAGACTGTCAGTCTCGCTGTGTACTGTAAACTTCCCTGTCTGCTCTTCCTCCTAGTCTTACTGCCTTAGTCTCAGACTCTTCCTCATCATTTTACTTGCTGACCTACTGTTCTCATTCCCCCATCTCCACCACACTAGTTTAAATCCTCATAGAATTCCCCAAATGAGGCAAAGCACATCCTTGTTGCTTTCTTTTCAGCAATTGTATTATTCTGTGCGGCAGTGGTTGTGTCCCTACCTTTGAGCCAGGAGGCCTGTATTCAAGTCTCACCTGCTCATGTGCGAAGTAATATCTCCGATCAGATTGACTCAAAATATCTATTCTGGCCTGTGCAGTGTATTATTTGAGTCACTTGGCTTGTGAAAAAGCTTAAGTGCCTCCGTTTGATCACTGCCTTTGTCTGTCTTCCTCCCTTTTAAAGTGCCGTTGTTTTGATCTTTTTAGTTCCCAAAGTTCCAAAACAATGCAACAGCTTACAAAACAGTAATTACTGCTCCTAGAATTCGAGGAGAACAGCTCCAACACTGAAAATACCTCAAAAAAGGAGCAGCTGTTACAGCCACAATTTTTTTGCTGTCCTCATCTTGGACTTATCCACTTAATGGTAAGGTACTGGGGAATGTTGCTGAACAAAGAGACCTTGGAGTGCAGGTTCATAGTTCCTTGAAAGTGGAGTCACAGGTAGACAGGATAGTGAAGAAGGCATTTGGTATGCTTGCCTTTATTGGTCAGTGCATTGAATATAGGAGTTGGGAAGTCATGTTGCAGCCGAATATGATGCTAGTTCGGCCACTTTTGGAATATTGCGTGCAATTCTGGTCTCCCTGCAAGAGGAAAGATGTTGTTAAACTTGAAAAGACTCGAAAGATTCACAAGTATGTTGCCAGGGTTTGGAGGGTTTGAGCTACAGGGAGAGGCTGAATAGGCTGAGGCTATTTTTCCTGGAGCACTGAAGGCTGAGGGGTGACCTTATAGAGGTTTATAAAAATATGAGGCACATAGGTAGGGTAAATAGAAAATATCTTTTTCCCAGGGTGGGGGAGTCCAAAATGAGAGGGCATAGATTTACGGTGAGAGGGGAAAGGTTTAAAAGGGACCTAAGGGGCAACTGTTTCATGCAGAGGGTGGGACATGTATGGAATGAGCTGCCAGAAGAAGTGGTGGAGGCTGGTAGAATGACAACTTTTAAAAGGCATCTGGATGGTTATATGAATAGGAAGCATTTAGAGGGATATGGGCCAAATGCTGTCAAATGAGTCCAGATTTATTTAGAATATCTGGTTGGCATGGACAAGTTTCCGTGCTGTACATCTTTATGACTCTGTGACTCCAAGTGCATCTTAATGAATCTTTTCAAAATTGGGAGGTAAGCTGTTGATTTTGATGCTGACCTATCTACTCCACTGTGGGGAAACTGGCATCATTATTAACCTGCAGGATGGCAGCAGTGCCAATGTTTAAATGTAATAACCTGGTTCAGAATTTTCATATTAACTGGAAACTGAAGTAAAATTGTGGGAAAATTTTGGGAAGAATTGGACATGAACTTTTAAAAATACCAAATGATCTGCAGGAGAAGTATTTGGGGATTATTTGTTTTAATGACATATTTCTTTATGTAAACTGTTTACAAGATAAGGTCTATCAGCGCTTTAATATATGGTTGGATTTATCACTGTGCAGGCCCTGATGTCCCACCTACAAGATGGGTTCCAGGTTGTGAAGCCGTTTGGCGGGCCCCTACACTCCTGACTAGTGTCCGAAATAACACCAGCAGAAGATTCAGCGCTACCTCCGATAGTGGAGACACTGGAATAGGCACTTCAAGTTCAGACAGCATAGAAGGTGGGGTGAAATTCTGAACTAGCTGAGTGGTGAATTGCTTATTTAATATGTATTGATGGTTCTGGAGAGAATAGACGATATACAGGTGTTGACAGCACATCTTGACAAATTACCCTCGCTGTCTATGGCCAGTAAATAAAAAGTAGCATGTTAATCTGAAAATGTTATATTTCTGAAAAAAGCAATTGTGGACACTGAAATGGATGGTTTTGATTATAAATTAATCTAACTTTGTGTAATTTGAGTTCCTGTAACTCTTGCTTTAGTATGTTACAGTAAAAGATTCACAGTGCTAAAAAACATACTAATGTCTTTCAGTTGAGTAAAATTTATAACTGGGTTCAAATATTCCACTTTGGCATGATGGTGTAATATAGCCATTTACACAGTACAAAATGTCCATTCACAACCAACACTGGAGGTGTTGGATTTCTTTTGCCACTCATAAACTAACATTGGTTCAAGCTTCTGGCTATATTGATATGAATTTGTTGTCCTCCTTGTTCTGGAATGGTATATCATGTGCTCTGCCCATCTACTCATGAGCCATGTGTTTTTATGATCATTCTTTGTACATAAACAATTGTGCTCATAACACAGATGTCATTTGGGAACTGTACATGGTTTGCATAGGAGGTATATGTCAATTTATTTACGACTGTTGTGATAGGATGGATGACCCAATCCCATGTATAGATAGGTGGGACAGAATTTACCTTTCCTGGAGGTGACGAGAAAGTTGGTGAAAGTCGAAATAATTGGGCAAGTTAGACCTTGAAAGATACTTGCCCCTTTCTTGCCACTTCAGCAATTAAGGGATGACAGTGAAGGTTCTTTGGGGACTTTCTGAATTCACCAACAATTAAGGCCCTTTATAGTCACTGAATGTCTGCTTAAGAGCCCCAACTCACCACAGATCCAATTCCTTGCCTTTCAGGCAGAGAAGAAACATTACTGACTCTCAACAGGTAAGCCGGGCAATCTGCCTACCAGTTGTGTGGAGGGGATGGTAATGGAATTCATCTTCATTTTCCCTAATCTGGGAGCAATTACAGTCACAGATGGGTGGGTGGGGGTGGGCCAAGAGGGTGGCCTCTGAAAACCGCAAACCCCCCTGAATACCTTCTCTCTCACACTGCCTTCCCACGAGAAATAAAAGAGAACCAGTTACTTTCTCACCATTGAATCTACTGAACGCCAGGCTTCAGCTGACCATGTTTAGAAACCAGAAGATGACAACCTCATAAATGACCTACAGCTTCTAGCAAGGTGGGATTCCGATGGCAGAAAACACCCAAAGGATTGCAGGTGCTGTAAATCAGAAACAATAACAGAAATTGCTGGGAAAACTCAGCAGGTCTGGCAGCATCTGTGGAGAGAAAGCAGAACATTCTGAAGAAGGACTGAAACATTAACTCTGTTTTCTCTGCACAGATGCTGCTAGACTTGTTGAATTTTCCTAACCTTTCCTTGTTTTTGTTTGGGATTCCACTGGTGATGCCTGATGGACTGACAAGCTTGTTGGACAGATCTTAACAAGCTGATTGGTTTGTCATCCAGAACACTTTCTTGCTGAATAGGTGATGGCACCGTTGAATACGCATGTACACACAGACACAGACACACACACGTGCACACATAGGCATACAAGATTATGCTTTCCTTCAATATAAGTTTCTGTACCACTACAAACATTTAGTTCATTCAGTTTCTCGCGTGCAACATGAAGAAGCTAATTAAGACTTAAAAATAGCCTTTATAAAATACTTAATTACATATCTTGCATGTCTCGGTATTTCACAAAGAAGCACAATATTTAGAACTAGAGTAACTGCTCTTATTTTAACAAATCCAGAAATTCATAAGTGAGTGATTACACAATGTGTAATGTAGCTAAATAGTAAGGAAATTAAAGATGAAAATAATGTTTTGAATGACTAACAAAGAAAGCATTTGATAGAGACATCTCTGATTTTTTAATATCCATTTTAGGACACCTACAATGTGGGGATTTAAATGTTTTATGGTACTTAGGTACTCAATGGCAACAATTCTTGAATATAACAAGTGGATTTACGATATTAGTTACAATTTAGGACATATTATCCTGGACTGTCAAAGCTGAATAAAGTGTCAACATGATCTTTGTGTAGTGCTGTTCTGTCATCTGTCCAGTCATTTTCAAAGTTAAGGGATAGCATTGGACCTTTCCCCACTGTACTCAATACGTAATCCCAAATGGACATTATCTGCACCTATGTTGTATAAATTTGGCACTCAAGAAGGACAGCCTAAGGTTAATTCCATAGTAAATGAGGGCCCCATATCATTGATGTCCAATGTGATTAGATGGTGTTTGTCATTTGTATGCATAATTACTTTCATTCTCACATTCATTCAAACATTTGTCAGCCTTTCCCATCTGATCAATCTACTGAATGTAGTGCAATCCATTAAATTATAGCATATTGAACTCTGAGAAAAACTGCTTTAGTGGATTAATTGGCAAGCACAACAGATCGGAACATCATAAACGTAACTTAAACAAAAACATAAAAAGCTGAATAAACTCAGCAGGTCTGGCAGCAAATGTGGAGAGAAAGCAGAACGTTCTGAAGAAGGGTCACTGGACCAGCAATGTTAACTCTGCTTTCTCTTCACAGATGCTGCCGCCAGACCTACTGAGATTTCCTGGCCTTTTTTGTTTTTGTTTAGGATTCCACTGGCGATGCCTGATGGACCAAGAAGCTCATTGGACAGGCTTGCAATGTGACACATGCAGACATGCACACACACACATGCGCATGCACGCACACACAAAACGTTGATGCTGTGCTAGATCTGTGTGTGTTTCGGACGTCCAGCATTTACAGTTCTTTGGTTTTTGATAAACATAGTCTGTCCGGTACAAAAGGCCACTGCATTCTGACAGTCATGGTTAAAATAGTGTCAACTCATTGCACCATTATCTTTGATATCTTCCGAACAGCTGAAGCAACAATCTATTGTCATGGTTTATATAGTTAGTGTTCTTTAGGAAAACTGATGAGTAAGTTTAAATATGAGAAAGTTGTAAATACACAAAGTTCAGTGTGGAACTCAAAACTGCAATTGAGTTTTCTTGTTGGGAAAAGGATTGAATACGCTGTGAAGTGCAAGATTGATACAAGTTTGCATATGTTTAATTTAAACTGTAATTGGAGTACATGATCAAACATATTTTCACTTTTGTGCCTTCTGATGTTCTTTATCAGCAAGACAAATGGGGCACACATATGAGTGTGGGTAATCTGCTAATATAGTGTTGATTAATTTGATGTTCTACTGCATAGACACACAGTGCCAGAGCTTACTATGCTGCCATACATTGCTAGCGTGCTATTTTAGCAGTTTCTTTGACTCCAGTGAGACTGCATGAACTTTAAGCATATTGCTAAAAATAGCATAGTGCATCCAAGCATATTTCTTTTCAGAATTAAATTGCCTTTGTAACTAAATAACCTCTGTATTTTCCCTTCTTCATACTTAGAGTGGCATCAAAATCCTTGATTCAGTGGAGTGATTTCATTTGCATTGCAAATAAAATTAGTTTTTTGAAAGTTCAATGACAAAGTATCTACCCATTAATTAAGTAGAAGAAAATAACTTGCATGTATCTAGTAATTTTCACATTCTTAGGATGCACCAATCCACTGTAAGATACTGAGTCAGATTTTTTCTGGAAAAATGTAGAGATATCTGAGTGACGCATTATCGCTCAGTGAGGTCTACATTGTGATACAGCTTGTAGCGTCTTTTCCCAGCACTGGTAACAGTGTTGCTACTCTTATTTCTTCAGGACTCCTACTTAATTCTGAAGCCACTTCATAATTTTGACAACGAAACCAGCCGTAGTCTGAATTCTGGTTTATATTGCCTTTAATTTCCAAAGCGCGACGAATGGGAAAATTCACATTTAATCTAACTCAGCCAGCAATTCAAAATTGCCCAATGCAGTATTGATTTCTTCTGTCCTTCCTGTTATGAGTACCTGGTTCTCTTACAGCTCTGAAAATCCTCACAATTTCAGCTGCACAGTTCTGACATCATGGTTCATGTGAATGGGCCATGATGTAGAGTTGTCGGTGTTGGAATGGGGTGGACAAGGTCAGAAGTCACACGATGCCAAGTTATAGTCCACCACGTTTATTAGAAATCACAGGTTCTTGGAGCATAGCCCCTTCATCAGATAGAGTGAGAAAGAAGCACACTGAACATAAAAATGTATGGGCAGGGAAAGATCAAGGGCAGAGATAACAAAAGACCGAACAAATGGCAAATAATAATCCCCTGCAGGTGATCTGAAGTGTTAGTGTGAGTAAAGTGTCAACAGCTGAATGATAAGTGAAAGAAAGACCTATATTCCAATTAAATGAGGCAGACAGACAATCACGAAAAATTAAAAATAAGGTGGTGCTAGAGAGAAACCAAATGACTGGAATAACATGATAGGTATAAGAGTCGCATGCCGAGGGTCTAACCAAAGTAATAAGTAATCGAAAACTTTACAAACTAATTAAGGTAGAGAGATCATAACAATTTATCCAGGTGATGGTGACAAAACAGGACAGTAAGGAAGATTTTACAGACTCAGAACAGTGTGATGGAGTCACATGTAGAGTGACATGAACCCTAGGTCATAGTTGAGGCTGTCTTTATGGGTATGAAACTTGGCTATCAGTTTCTGCCCTGTGATTCTGCATTGTTGTGTATCTCGGTGTCCGCCTTGGAGGACGCTTACCCGAAGATGAGAGGCTGATGCCCTTGACCACTAAAGTGTTCCCTGAATGGGAGGGAACATCCCTGTCTGGCAATAGTTGCACAGTGTCCATTCATCTGTTGTTATAGTGTCTGCATGGTCTCGCCAATATACCATGCCTTGGGGCATCCTTGCTTATGAGATTGACAACATTGGCCAAGTCGCATGAGTATCTGCCGTGTATGTGGTGGGTTGTGTTCCC